CAGATGCTGATTAATAAAAATCCAGAGTCACAGAAAAAAACCCTAAAAGAGACTCTCGTCTAATTTTACCTGAACCTCAAACTGAGAGCACACACGCCTCCTGAAGAGCTACAAAAAGTCATATTCACAGAAAAATGATGAGTGAGGCTCGTTCTGTACACAGGTGTGTCGCACCTTTCTTTAAATCGATCCTTAGTCTTCGTCCTCCTCTCTTATTGGCCATCAAGCTAGAGAGGGCGGGGCTTTTCTTCAGGAGGGGGCTCTCACTTTTCCCCTTCGGGGTCTATTTGAAAAACAAGCAGCAGTAAATTCATTGTTTCACATTTCAAAACCCCAAACAAGAGTGTGGCATTTATTAAACAATATATCTGTTACAGCAAAGTCTAACACACACTGGTCACCTTGGAGTCGCCGTAAAAGCAGCTCATAGAAGCTGCTTTAAATTGAAGATGTTAAACATCAAACAGGTGAGAGAAAGATCTAAACGTGCTGGGAAAAAAACAGTATCGATAAAGTCTGCGTACGGACGCGTGCGAGTCTGGGGAACAGTCCATCACATCTGCATGACAGGAAAAGATAATCAGCTGCTGCTAAGAAACTGCTGCCGCAATGCCAGCTGTTTTAAATGTCAGCCATGTCACCATGGTGATGCTGACGACAAAGTTGCATCCGTTTGTGTTTTAGGACTTGATCGTTGTAGGAAGGAGGTCAAAATAACACGAGGTTTGAACCCGTTTCTACAATTACAGCATCTAAAGAATTTAAAGCAACCCAAAAATAAAAAATAGTATATTTAGCACTCGAAATAACAGACCATGGGAAATATGGTCTGTCTTTAAGGAGGAGGCTGGAGAGAAGTTAGCACTCGCTCTAGAAGGAAAGGTGAGGAGACCGAAGCTCAAGCCCGGGCTGTATTGTGTTTGCCTGTGCACACATTAATCATTAAAACTGCAAACTTTTTACAAAGCATGCACGACAGATGCAAAGTCTGTGTCAGTCTGTGGATGTGCAGCAGAGGAACTTACACTGAAACCCGGCTCGAGGCCGGCCGTCTCTTCCGCCAGCCGCACGGCTGAATTCTCCGAGGGTTTAAACACAGGTTTGGCTTTGACAGGGGGCGGAGGCTCTTTGGTGTTTCGGGGGCTGCCGGTGGGACCGGTATTATTGCCAAACAGCTGACCAATCAGACTCTTCTCATAGCGCTCTCTGTTGAAAGAAGGCACGACTTCCAGGCGTACAACCGGGGAACGCATCGCCTGACGGAACACATCCTGAGATCTGAGAGGACGAAAACGAGGAGAAAGTTTTACTTCAAAGTTTGTAGCACATTACGTGCACAACAAGTGGCACACGCTGAACATTAAAAGGAATCATGTCATTAATCACAATTACACAGGAAGAGCAGTTATCCATCTCTGACACAAAAACTAATTACTGAAGGGTAGATAACTCAATCAGGAGAAAAATACAAAAAGACACATGGTATAAATATGATTATGAATGACAAAAAATGTCAATTAATTGGTAATTAATATAAATGGGATATCTGATTTTTGCAATAGGATCATTCATCTTAAAAGACTAACTTTCATTTCTAAGACTGGCTGGTGCTGCTCTGACAAGTAAGCAAAGAAAGCTGATGTATAATCAGCTAAACAGGAGTTTAAACTAATGGCAGATTTTATATTTCTGTGTGCAAAGGTTAATTCTGACATAAAGACATTATAACCTAACCTGAAATATAACATCCGCACATTTTACAATGTGCCACTGCTTACTGCTGGCTGTTCTGTGCATCTCTTAATGTTTTTCTCAGGAGTAAGACAGGAGACAACACCGAGCCATGACACCTGTGCAGAAGGCCATCATAATCTCATGATCTATAAAAAAACATCATTTTGCAGGGGATTCGTCTACATCAGATCCCAATAAGTACGTTAGGGGAACGGTTGTGTCAGAAGCTGCAGTACACACCATTATTCTCCTCAGATAACTGACAGAGCAAATCCAGTTTATTAGCATTTTATTGGGTTACACACGTATCGTTTCCCTCCCAGATTACGAGCGCATTATAATGATTAGAAATAACCGTAACCAGACACTATGTTTAGAAAGTCCTGTGTGGAACCTAATAAATCACGTATGGAATTATAATGATTTTTTAACTACTTAAAGATCCACTCAGGTGGGGGAGTTTCCACGTAGAAGACTCAATCGATAAATCAATAAAGAGTCAGCCATCATGGAGTACACTCACTGAAACACCTGCGTTCTTATTTATTTAGTTATCTTACTATGAAAACATCCAATCTGGGACAGCAGTGCTTAGATTGTCACAGCCAGAGGCTCGGTTTATAGAACAATAAAGATCAAAATTAGGAAATTAAAATGTGAACGGCTGACGGGGTTTCCTGGGATCTCATTTCACACCCAGTCGTCTTTCCAGACTTAAGGCCGCCACCTTTATGTCCTGAGTGGGGAGCGTGTGTCACCGTCTCCCACACTGCCGTTGGTCCTGCCCCAAACTGCACAAACACGGTTCATCACTCCTCTGAGAACCGCAGAAAATCTTAAAAACTGCGACTGATTTCGGTGCCTTTACTCTTTGGTCTTCCAAATACTTCAATCCAAAACAAACATCAGCGTTCTGACATTCTGTGCCTGCAGAAATGTACAAGTTCAGTGGATCTCCCACAGTAACATTAAAACACTTCCCACTGGACTTCACGACACGTCCACGCTAAAGATGTGTTAGTGGGAATGTGTCTATGATATGTTGTCTTCCTGTGCTGGGCTCTGAGGAAATATTATTTTTGCTCTGTTGTTGAAAATTAAAACCACACCCACAAACTACACCCTTTTTGGCTCCTACCTCAAAGCACACTGTGTTCTGTTGATCTTATGTGCTGCACAATAATGTTTAATATTTAGTATTTACTGTCATATTCCCATATATCATTGTGATGTTGTTTATTCTATTACTCTTGTTCTCTTCTGCTTGTTTTCTTTTTTCTTTCTCAGCAGGTGATCCAGGTGATTGATATATGCATTTTTTTTCTCTGCCCGTTCTGTTGGTTTTTGTTTTTTGCCCTTCTCCCCCGTCCCTCTTCTCAGCTGTTTCTCTTTCCCTCTTTCTTTCTCCCCTTCTTTCCCCCAGTCAAGTCTGTCCCGTATTCAGTAAGTGAAAATAAAATAAACAATAAAAGGTGAATCAAATGGACCATTATGGCAAGGCTGGGATGGTCAGTTTGGTAAAGTAAATCCGTTGGGCATCTTTCTTTGCCTTTAGACAACAATTCTGATGCAAAAGAGCCAAACGGGACAGGCCAAAAAAAAAAGAAAAAAAAAAAAAAAAAAATTAAAACCACAGTTTGATGTTTTTTTTCTAAAAACATCTGGGAACACCTTTTTTTACGAGCAACATCAGACGCAGCCGTGAGACTGGCTGCTGCTAACATCAGAGAAACCGCTCTGTGCAGCTGTGCTCAGCAGACCAACGTCTCAGAAAGCACAGCACGATGACCACGCCCGGCTGTGTGAATATCATTGCTGTTACAGGGTCAGTGCTTTGTCCTCCATCACTGCGAGTCTGCTCCTGAGTGCAGGGAGCAAACGTCACTAAATCTGGTGTGAAGAAGCTCAGTTTCCACTGATAAAGTCAGATTTGGCAACAACAGCATGAAAACTTGGACTCCACAGTCACAGCTGATGGTGGGGGTCTCCGTGCTGAGAATGTTTTATTGGAACATCTTGGGCACTAATATCAAATCAATCATGGTACCAATTAAAAGCCTTTATGGATATTTTTGCTGACCACACGGATTTCTTATTGCCGTCTACTAATGGACACTTTCAGCATGTCACAAAGAAGCAGTACTGTCAAACTGGTTACACTGGTTACTGCTAACCATATCTGATATCAGGAGCTCTGCAGCGCAAGTGCTCAGCTGATAAAGCCGCATAATTTCAATATAGACCAACATCTCAAAGGAGGCTTCCAGCATCTTGTTAAATCTGATAACTAATGTGAGAGTAGGGCAGGCCCACACCACGTTAGAGTCCCCCTCTGTGAATACATACATGTGTAATACACATTCACGGCAAACTGACTGAGCATCATATCTGCCAGGATGCAAAATCACAGAGAAAACTCACAGAGACTTCACAGGACATCCAGGAGAGCTGAACATGTCAGTTCACTCATTCAGAGGGAGTATTGTAATATTGAATCATACTAATTATTAAAGTCTCTAATGTTAGCAAATATGACCATAAAAGTAGACCTTTGTAGCCCTCATGCCTGCTGGCGGTTCATGGAAATCTATGCTTTTATATTATTATTACAAATGTAAATCCAAAGGCCAACATCTGCACGGTGTACGATACAGGAAGTGAGTGGATGTGTGGGCTAATGGGCGCAGTACGCCATCACAGGGCAATGGCAGTGGATATGATAGCTGCGTGTGTGTGTGTGTGTGTGTGTGTGCGTGTGTGTGTGTGTGTGTGTGTGTGTGTGTGTGTGTACACACACATGTTTAGACATGTTTGTGAGGACAGCAAATTGGCATGCTATTATACTTATGGGGACAAAACACTGGTCCTCACGAGTTTGAAGACATTTTTGAGGCTCAAAATGTGGTTTTAGTGTCAGGATTACAATCGGGTTATGGTTGGGTTTAGGCTGAGGGTTAGGATTAGGTATTCAGTTTTGAAGGTTAGGGTTCAGGTAAGGGGCTAGGGAAAGTATTGTCCTCACTAAGATATGAAAACGTGTGTGTGTGTGTGTGTGTGTGTGTGTGTGTGTGTGTGTGTGTGTGTGTGTGTGTGTGTGTGTGTGTGTGAGTGCGTCTATGTGGTATGGATTGACATTTGACCTGCGCTGTACCTGGGCTCTGGGGACATTTTGACTTTTTGCTGTGTATTCATGTGTCCCCCTAAAACATGACTTGTAAATGCATTTTGTCTAAATGCAAGTGTCTAAATAATAATTTTTTCTACTTCTTATGAGGTCATTATTTATCTTTTGACCTGTATTTGCTTAAACTGTAGTGTAAATTCATTTATTAAACTATAATTAAAAGATTTTCTGATTTTCTTAAAAGTCCACCTATACCCCTCACCTGATTTTTGTGTATTCCAGTGTATTGCACAGCGACGTTTCGAGTTAGAGTGGATGTGTGTAGGTACTGCAATTTAATACACATTTTCAATACACACGGCCGGAAGTCATTGTGATTGGTAGGCTATATATATAGGCGGTACCTACAGGAAACGGCGCCACAACTTTCGCGCGCGTGCCCTTTAACAAGTGTATGTCGACGGCAATACGAAGACGGATTAAAAACACAAAGGTAAGCCTTTTTTAATGTAAAATGCACCATGACTTTAATACTATATGAAATTATAGGTGCACAGGCCTATATTAAACTGGTTTAATTTATGCTTTATGGACTGTTAGTGAGTCTTTGAAGAAGTAAAACGGCCCCAGCGTTTGTCATTGAGTAAATAAAATAGGGCTGACGACTAACCGCGTCAACGCGATAAAGCGGGCTAACCCGTGTTAGGATTTACTCGGTGTTAAAGCATTATTGTGGCTTAAACGTGTTAATGCCGACATCGCGACTAACGCGATTAACAATTAAACCAGCGCAGTCTGAGTCAAAATCCCTGATGTCGCTGTTAGCTAATTTCGGGCAGTTTGTCCAATGTCTGTCATTCTGCTGACAGCCCTAAAATAAAAGCAAGGGTATAAGTGTATTTAGTCGTGTATTTATTTATATGCCTGAAGAAAAAACTTCTTACAGTTTTGATGCCTAAGCTTTCTCAGTACTTGCATCACTCTCTGCAGTCGCCATTACAGAAATGTCACATGTCGCCATTTTGAGTACTAGGCCTTTAACATTTTAAAAGAAGGCATAAATTAGCACTATGAATAAGTCAGCTGTGTTTATGCTGTAAACTACACTACTGCTAGTTCTGCTACTACTGATGATGATGACAATGATGACGATAATCGTAATACTTTATATGCTTTGGTAATACAGCCAATCGTACAGGAGAACATGCGAAGGAGACGCATTCCTCCACGGGAGGATGCAGTCTGTCATGTTTCTGCTGGAAGGGACAAACTGGGACTTGATATCCACTACATAAATGCCTTCAAAGGTAAGTTGGTCTTTAGTTTGGATTAGATTTGGAGTTTGTCACTTTGTCTTTTGTCACTCACTTGGTATGCCTCTGCAATTCAGGTCGGGGCATTTTCACGACTGTTCCATTCCAAAAAGGAGACTTTCTTTTGGAATACAGAGGTAAACTCATAACAAAAGAAGAATGTGAGCGGAGACACAGAGTTTATCATGACAGCCTGAAGGTGTTCATGTTTGAATTCAAGTTTGATGGAAAACTCTGGTGGTGCGTATTATAACAGTGTAGTTTGATTAAGATTAAATGACACATTGCTTTTGATTTATGAAAAAAAAAAGCTTCCTAACTAACTAGTTAAGCTAATACTTTTTTGCCTAACCCCACAGTGTGGATGCATCTCAAGAAGATGGGTCATTAGGCAGACTTGTCAACGACAACCACATCAGTCCAAGTGCTAAGATGAAAATATTAAATATCAATGGAAAGCCCCATCTATGCTTATTTGCAAGCAGAGACATAAGTCCAGGCGAAGAAATAGACTATAATTATGGTGACTCGGATTGGCTCTGGAGATGCAAGGTATTTCTACAATTGTACTTTTTGGAACTGATAAATTGCATACCCTAAGCCATTTTTACATTTGTACCTACTCAAATTGGCTTAACGTGACTTAGGGCATCTAGTTTTTCACTGAAATTGAGTATCACCTACTGTGCCTGGGGTAACTATAGCAATGCAGCCGAGCATCCAGTGATATAAATGCCACAGCAAGCATGGACGTCAAGGTGACAAAATGCCTGCTGCTCAGTCTATACTTTAGTGTTCAATTCAGGGATCACGCTGTTAATTTTGGTCGCTATTTCAAACATTTCAGAGTTTCAAAAATGATGGCTTGGATTTTCACGAAGGAGGCGCACTCATAACTTATCGAGTGACACCATTGACCAGCCACCTGGTGGCATTCAGTCTATGTCAAATTTTCTGATCACTTTGGATCACTTGGAACCTTGGTGCAGTAGTTACTGAAAAACTACATGGTACTATAACCTACTGGAAAAACAGGGGTAGGTACTAATGGAAAACAGGCAATTGTGATGGCTGCCACATCAAAGCCCTCTAAAAGCACTAAAAAAATATCAGCAGGTATGCAGAAATAAAAAATGGCTTTCGGTTTCTAAATTTTAACAGTGATTGATGTTTAATGTGATTCTACACAGCAAAATCTCCAGTGTTAAATTAACACTGGAGAGTGTCTATAAGGGTCCACACCTCTGAGTGTTAAATACAACACTGTTGAGTGTTAAATTAACACTTTTGACAGTGTTATATGTTTAAAAGTAACCTAGTCAGTTTTGAAGATTAACAATGGCTAACACTGAGCAGTGCTGATTTTCTAACACTGGAAAATAACTCAAAATGTTAGAAATATTCCAGTGTTAGAAAATCAGCACTGCTCAGTGTTAGTCTTTGTTAATCTTCAAAACTGACTAGGTTACTTTTAAACATATAACACTGTCAAAAGTGTTAATTTAACACTCAACAGTGTTGTGTGGACCCATATAGACACTCTCTAGTGTTAATTTAACACTGGAGATTTTGCTGTGTAGCCTCTTTAGTTAGATTCATTTTAAATTTTGTCCCTTGAAGATAAATGGGCCCTAGTGACAGTTCGTTGCTGCTACAGGTGATTGTTTTACTCCTTTAGCAATGGCTTAAAAAATAAAGAAATCACACTGACTATTTGTCTCTTAATCATAGGGCCTTAAATTCTCTATACATGACAGTGAATATTTTAAAGACAATAGCTTGAAACTTATCTTTCTCATACAGTTTATTTAATGTTTCAAAAGCCTCTTCAAAAATGCACTGTATATTCATTTTCTATCTGTTACACACGGAGACCAGCCAGATTCAGAAGACTGTGAGCTGCCTAAAGCCGCAACCAAACAGCTTTCCAAACAATGATCTGGACCTGAAACATCCAGAGCCTGAAAGGGTAAATATAATCCAGTGTACCACTTAATGAACTAATAATTTAATCTATCATCATTCTTTATGGATGCTGTGTGTGTGTGTGTTTGGCAGTCACCTGGGTGTGATGTGATTTACATGGACCGTGGCTTGTAGGTCCTTTTCATTGTTTCAAAGTGCAAGTCTGGATAACATCTGAGTGTGTGTGTGTGTGTGTGTGTGTGTTTGGCAGTCACCTGGGTGTGATGTGATTTACATGGACGAAGTTTATTAGTTGATATCTGCAACTGAATTGAAAACACACCTTTCCAACTGTCCAAAACAAATAAATGTTGCAATATTTTGCTAACAGTGTCACAATCATCGTCTGGTGTGCACAACAATATCATCTTTGGACAAGTGCATTCAGTGTGTGGGACCGGTTTCCTCCCTCAAGTGGCTTGGCTTTAAGTGCAAAGGTGAGACATTTAGTGAATAGGTACAGTGTATAGTAAAAAGCATTAATAGAGTTCAACAAGTTAAGACGTGCTGAAATGAACACTGCTCCCTTTTTAATTAATGGGTGGTCACGTCTAATTAAAGAAATGCAGTATTACCTCATTGGTGCAGGACCTTGTAAAAATGGTATACTTGGGATTGTCCTCAATTCCCCATTCCATAACATAAACTGCTCAAAATAATAAAGGGAACACTTAAACAATGCGATGTTACTCCAAGTCAGTCACACTTCTGTGAAATCAAACTGTTCACTTAGGAAGTAACACTGACAACCAGTTTCACATGCTGTTTTGCAAATAGAGTAGACAACAAGTGGAAATTATAGTCAATTCACCATAATAAAGGACTGGTTCTGCAGGTGGTGACCACAGACCACTTCTCAGCACCTATGCTTTCTGGCCGATGTTATGGTCACTTTTGAATGCTGGCGGTGATTTCATTTTAGTGGTAGCATGAGACAGTCTACAACCCACACAAGGGGCTCAGGTAGTGCAGCTCATCTAGTGTAGCACATCAATGTGAGCTGTGGCAAGAAGGTTTGCTGTGTCTGTTAGTGTAGTGTCCAGAGCATGGAGGTGCTACCTGGATGTGGAGTAGGCCATAGGAGGGCAACAACCCAGCAGCAGGACCGCTACCTCCACCTTTGTGCAAGGAGGAACAAGAGGAGCCCTGCAAAATGACCTCAAACAGGCCACAAATGTGCATCTGTCTGCTCAAATGGTCAGAAACTGACTTCATGAGGGTGGCTTGAGGGTCCAGCGTCCACAGGTGGGGATTGAGCTTGCAGTCCAACACCATGCAGGATGTTTGGCATTTGCCAGAAAACACAAAGTTTGGCAACTTCAGCACGGGCACCCTATGCTCCTCACAGCTGAAAGGAGGTTCAAACTGAGCACGTGACAGTCTGGAGATGCCGTGGGGAATGTTCTGCTGCCTGCAACATCCTCCAGCATGATCATATTGGCAGTGGGTCAGTAATGGTGAGGGGTGGCATTTCTGTGCCTGCCAGAGAGCCTGACTGTCATTGGGTAACAAGATGAGGTCCTCGGACCCTTTGTGAGACCACATGCTGGTGCATTTGGCCCTGGGGTCCACCTAATGCGAGACGACACTGGGCCTCATGTGGCTGGAGTATGTCAGCAGTTCCTCCATGACAAAGGCATTGATGCTATGGACTGGCCCGCCTGTTCCCCAGACCTGAATCCAATTGAGCACATCTGGGACATCATGTCTCACTCCATCCACCACAAACTGTCCAGGGGTTGGCAGATGCTTTAGTCCAGGTCTTGGAGGAGATCCTTCAGGAGACCATCCGCCACCTCATCCCGAGCATGCCCAGGCATTGTAGGGAAGTCGTACAGGCATCTGGAGGCCACACACATTCAACTACACACTTTCATGCCACTCAACTACCTAAAGAACAAAGTATTTAATAAGAATAATTCCTTCATTCACATCTGGGATGTCCTTTTTTGGGGGGGGGAGGGGGATTAGCAGTGTATGTGTAGTCATTAAAATATCCTTAATGTGAACAGTTTTTTTTTTTTTTTTTTTTTTTCAGCATTTGACATTACTGCAATGCTTTGACAAAAAACTACTTCACTTAAATAGAACTGCAAAGCTAAATTAAGTCTATCAAAATGTGTTTCAGTTTGTTTAGGGGTCTGGCACAAATCTTGCCTTGCAAAATTGGCAAATCAGAATTGCCACCAGTCAACACAGGTGTGTATCCCATTCATATTTGGCTTGACTTTTTTTCAGTTTATTTTTTACCTGTCTAAAGTATTGATCAATTAAAAAAACTTTTGTTCTTACATTCCAGAAAGAAGAAATTTCTGAATATTCAGGGGAGGATGGATTGCCACATTCAGTTCTGGATCAAATATCAAGCGATGATGATGGCAACCACAGCATATCAGAAGAAGAATATGTGCCAGATTCAGAGTCATATGATGAAGATTCAGATGAAGACATCTCATTATTGCCAAGCACATCAAAAGGTCTGCTATGCCAAGATGACATCTCCAAAGCGCATGAACAATCAGATTCAACGAATTTAATCCACAACTTGACAAAGGACAAGCCACAAGATAAAAGTGAGCTTTGCGAAACTGAATCAGAAAAAATGACTTTAAGTAAAAGAAATTACTGCTATTTTTGTGGCAAACCACAAGCTAAAATTTCCCGCCACCTGAAAACGCACAAAACGGCTCCTGATGTTGTGCATGCATTTTCCCTGCCTAGAGACTCAAACGAGCGTAAAAGTCTGTTAGAGAAATTGAGAAATAAGGGAAATTTTAAGCATAATGCTGCAGTTTTGCATGGTGGAGTGGGACCACTGAAAGTGAAGAGAAGACCCAAGATTAAAGCAGTAGAGGGAAAGTTTGCTCATTGCTTTTATTGTCAAGGGATGTATGTTCGCAAGGATCTTTGGAGACATGTCCGCAGATGTCCTAACAAACCAAAAGATGACACGGATAAAGAACCTGGAAGAACCAAAGTACTCGGCCTGGCTTTAACTCTGGAGTCTCAGTGTTATCCGCAGGTGTCAAGTGGAGTCTGGAAGGTTCTTGCTGTTATGAAACAAGATGAGATTGCCTCAGCTGTGCGAAATGACTTTACTGTTATTCAGTTTGCCCAGTCCCTCTACAATAAACATGGACAAGACCCTACAAAGTATGATTATATACGACAGAAGCTTCGTGAAGCGGGACGTTTGTTGTTGTGTCTGCGCACAGAATTCTCAGTGCATAACATGGAAGAAGCTATTAAGCCTGCTAATTTCCAGAGAGTTGTGCAAGCAGTAAAGAAAGTTTCAGGTTTTGATGAAGAGACACTGTCATACAAAACTCCAAGCCTTGCGCTGAAACTGGGACATACACTGCATAAAATGTCTGACATTATCCATTGTCGTGCCCTCATGACAGAGGATGAAGCCCTAATCAAGTCCACTGATGCGTTCAAGAAGTTGTATGTCTCCAAATGGTCTGAGATGGTGTCTCACCGTGCCTTGAACACATTGAGTGAGGCAAAGTTTAACAAGCCATCAACATTGCCCTTTACAGAAGATGTTCGGATTCTCCATCACTACCTTCAAAAATCTGCAGAAAGTGCCTTTTGCAGCTTGGAGAACGAAGCCACAGCTCAGAATTATGCCCAACTTGCACAAGTTACACTCTCACAAATCATTGTGTTCAACCGAAGACGTTCTGGAGAGGTTTCAAAGATGCGCCTCAAAAGTTTTCTTGAAAGAGACAAAACAGCACTCCACACAGATGTTGCCATGGGGCTCTCAGAAATGGAACAGAGACTCTGTAACTATTTCTGTAGAATAGAAATAATGGGAAAAAGGGACAGAAATGTTCCAGTTCTGCTAACACCAAGCATGCTGGATGCTCTGTCACTACTGGTTAGTAGGAGGCCTGACTGTGGTATTTGTGCCACTAATATCTACCTCTTTGCAAGACCCCGATCAATGAGTCATTACAGAGGAATGGACTCCTTGCGTGTTCATGCACACCAGTGTGGAGCAAAGCAGCCTGAGTATCTAAGATCGACACAGCTCAGAAAACATGTTGCCACACTCTCACAAGTCCTTAATTTGAAAAACAACGAACTTGATCAGGTTGCAGATTTTCTGGGTCATGATATCCGCGTTCACCGCGAATTCTACAGATTACCAGTTCCCACAACACAGCTGGCCAAGATTTCCAAACTGCTTTTAACACTGGAAAAAGGACAACTTTCCCAGATCCAGGGGAAATCACTGGATGAGATCAAAATAGAAGGTTTGTATTGAAAGGAGCAAATATTAGGGCAGTAGTTGAATATTATGCTTTATCAACAGAATTAAAACCTAAAAGCACAGACCATTCTGTTAAATGTCCATGATTTAAGGTTCTTGAAGTCTATTGTTTCATCACTTTGCAACATTTGGCAAACTGCAGAGTGGTGGCCTTAAATAGTAAAACTATGTACTATAATTTCCAGTATTTGTTCTGTATTTTGTCATATCTCGTTGTTAATGTGAGGTTTTTGGGGGGTTTGTGTTTGGTTTTTTGGGGGGGTTTTCCCACAATTTCTCAGATGAAATTGCATTAAGTGATGCTGAAACAAAGGACAGTGAGAGTGAATCAGATGATGATGACACAGCACTCACAATGTTGGCGTGTGGCACCAGTGAGCCTGTACATGCAGTAGCTGATTCCACAAACACAGCGCAGCTCCAAGACACTGTAGATTGTGGTAAGTTACCACTAGCTTGGTTTCTGTGGATAAAATGTTTGTTACAAATATTAAAACTTAATCAAATTGTGTAATCAGCAGATGAAGGACCACTCACAATGCCTGCAGCAAGTGAGACTGCTGCTCCCTCTGAAGGTAAGGGGTGCAGTTGGTTCTCTAAGCTTATTATTGTTTCATCACTTTGCAACATATGGCAAACTGCAGAGTGGTGGCAAAAAGTCACTTGGATGAGTGACAAAATGTTTCTCCCACTGAAAACGCTACGTCCAGATTAACAGAATCAACGTTTTGGGATTTACTTACCTAGATGATTGAGCATGCATCAAGAGACTTTTATTCAACTTTTTATTCAGTCTTTTATTCACAGCGGAACACTAAATGTCTCATTTTAGAAATTTGATAAATTTTCAAAGAGAATTTTAGCTCGTTTTGATATTGATGGTAGCAACACATTTCAGAAGTTAGTACAGGGTAGCATCCATTCTTTTAACCACCAAATGTTTTTGTTTTTTTTGTTTGGTTTTTTGTTTGTTTTAACTACTACTACTTTATATATCTTCCAGAGAAAAATGCTGCTCAATCCCACAATTCCCGAAGAGCTCCCAAAAACATGTGGTCCAAGGCTGAGGTTGCTGCAGTGATGAGGCATTTTAAAGACCACATAAACGAAGGGAAACTAGCCACCAAAAATGAATGCAGTCATTGCAAATTGGTAGAAGATCCGGTGTTGGCAGGAAGAACAGTTCAAAACATAAGAGATTTTGTAAGAAACAGAGGATTAACTGCAAAAAGGCAGAAAAAAATGAACTAAAATAACTGTTTAGAGAGCTGTGGTTTTACATCTTGGTCAGATTGCCAATTGTTGTTAACACTGATGTTCTGTTTAAAGAAAAAAAAGTTCTTGTTAAATACAGAAGTAGTTTGTATTTCATAATTTTTACATTTAATTTATTTAGGGTTTTTTTTGACGGGTTATATTTAAAATAAAAAATTATAAATGCATATTTTCTCCCCTTAATATTTACCTTTAAACTATTAAAATTCATTTTAAATGTTTTTAATTTTTCTGTTTTCTATATTTTTATATTTCTGTGGGAAGCGTGGGCATTTTTGTCCATAGATTTCTTTTTTTATTTATGGTTAAAATTAATGTTCAGATCCAAGAACACTAATAAAATGATGTTCCAGTAATCCTGTGTCCTGTCAGATGTGTATTCATGGTAATGATGAGCTATTTACATATTACATCATTGTCCCTTTAAAGACCCAATATTGTTTTTTTTGGACCTCATAAAACACATTGTTGTCAAGTGGACAATGTCTCCAGAAAACACAATAGAGTCTGGTTGGTGTGTATCAGTGTATCTAGACTTCTATAGGGAGTGTATGAGGTCTGAAGTGACCCAAATTTTTTTCAGATTTTTTCGAACACTTTAACCTCGCTCCCTTGGCTCTAAGTCCTTTCAAAAGGGTAGTCCACTTAAACCACCACCGGGCGGATTGACGTAGTATAGTCCCGCCATACCACATAGACCCGTATGTGTGTGTGTGTGTGTGTGTGTGTGTGTGTGTAGACATAGCTTTCAGGGGGATCAGTGGACTTTCTGTGGCCCACTTTTGCAGGATCAAGCTGCATATCACAATATCACACCTGCCATGACGGAACAATACTGAGAGAGCATGTGTGTGTATGTGTGTGTATGTGTGTGTATGTGTGTGTATGTGTGTGTAATACAGTCCATTCAACTTTGTTAATGCAGACTGACGATATATCACATGTAAGATTAAGGGTGTAATACAGGAGAAAAACTGTCCGTGTGTGTGTTTGTGTGTCAGCGAGTGCACAGGGGGCTACACACCTGTCTTTGAACAATAGGTACAAACCTCAGCGGTGATAATCCATTTACCTACAGTACAGCATAAAATACCTCACGCGTAATCTCATTACCACAGTGAACACTGGACAGGAACTGTTGTGTGGACTGAATACACAGTGTAATGTGGTGCAATCAATATAATATCCGCATCTGTGCCTGTAATCTGTGGCAATTGTTTTTACGGGTGTCTTTTATCATTTTAATGCTCTGTAATCACATTACATCTCTAAACACTCGTGTTTATGTAGCCCTGTTCAGGCTTCAGGGGCACCGTGAGCAAACTCCAACATTTGATCTCCAAGGTTGAACAAATCTTTCCTTTACACACACACACACACACACACACACACACACACACATTAATCCAGAAGCAGCTAAACATCTGCCAAGTGTTTTTCTGCATTTCTTTGGATTTGCAGTGCTACCTCACAGAAGGTGAGACAGCAGGGGAAGACAGGTTTATACTTTAGTTTAGTTTTTTCACTAACTTGGTAACAATACCACAAATTAATGTAATTTTAATGTATCCAAACCTACTTTTAAAGTTAAGTGCGATTATATTGCTCCATTAACCAAAACTCACAGAAGAAACAGCAGCTCCTAAACGTAAAGCAGTTCTTTCTTGGTCCGTACACAACATGGACATTAACTGTAACACGATACGCTGTGTTTATTTTATTCTATGGCCGTGCATTTATTCTAATAGAGCTGTACTCACTGGCTGAAGGTCTTGTCCATGAGATCGGTGTCGTTGATTTTCACGATGCACTCGTCTTCCTGAAACAGGCCGTCCTTTCTGGAGCGGCTCTCTTCCTCCACTCCACGGATATACAGACCAAGAGCCCTGACGGAGAACATGCAAGAACAGAGCGAGAGATTAAAGGACGTTTTCCATGCACAGGTTCACAAACGCACAGAACTTCTTGCATGCAGACAGACGAGTCTCCATATGGTTTACTTTACCACAGTTATGGTCATTTTATCTCCAAGCTCCGCTGTGGGTTTCTACTATAACTTACAGTCCTGTGAAAAAGAAAGTTTTCACAAGACTCCCTGTGGTCCTGTGAAAACACCCTGACTACTTCCAAAGGAATGAAGAGGGTAACTGATCATCAGCAAGTGTGAGCACCTCTATAAAAACAGAAGTTTGCTGGTCTGGAGCTTTGAAGCACGTGCCAACACGATGCCAGGGAGGAAAGATGTAAGCAATGAGCTTATAGATGCAGCTGCTGCTGCCCACGAGTCTGCCAAGGGTTATAATGTCATTTCCAAATAATTTGATTATTCATCATTCTGCAGTGAGAAGTGGTAGATATTCAAGAAAGATGCTAACGTTCAGAGGGCTGAGCATCCCTGAAAATAATAATAATGGATACTTTATTGATCCCCATGGGGAAATTACTTGTTTTTCTCTGCATTTGACCCATTCACTCAGTGAAGCAGTGGGCAGCCCACTAAGCAGGCGCCCGGGGAGCAGTGTGTAGGGACGGTACCTTGCTCAGGGGTACCTCAGGGTAGCCGTTAAGTGGATTCGAACCGCCGACCTTCCGATCATGGGGTGACCACTTTACCTACTGAGCTATCCCTGCCCCAGAATCCACCCCAAGGTCAGACTGTGCTGTTCTCAGAGACATCGCAAAAAACCCAACAGCTCCATCTCAGACTCGACAGGCCTCAGTTAGCATGTTAAACACGAAAGTTCATCACAGCATAATTAGGAAAAGACAAGTGTGGCGTTTAGAAGGGTCGCCAGGAGAAAGCACGCAACACGCCAGCATGGTTTAGGTTTGCAAAGTTGCAAAGACTCGAGATCAGGCCGAAGAGGAGATGCTTGGCTATATCGCAGGACATCAGTGAAGCACAGCAACGATAACAACTGGAGTTTTATACAGAAACAAATCCTGTTTCTCACAAACAAGTCATAAGATCAGCGTACAATCATGATTTAGTCTGCGCTTGACTGTGATGATGTAGTTTAAATGCATGCTTCTATGTCCGCCTGATTCTGTGCATCGCGGTGCATTACGACTCATCACAGGTGATTCTTCTCTCACTCAGCATTGTGTCTTCTATGAAAATGTGGGATGTGATCCCAAAATCGAAGAGAGCAGCACTGCATGTTGTTTATTTAGTCGCTGCTGCAAAGACTGCCTGCTTACCTCGGCTCCTTGAATGACTTTAAACACAGTAGTAACAATGTCAGGACATCTTAACGTTATCTGTATTAGACGATATAAACACCTTCAAACTTACAAACTGAGAGTGAAATGGTAATATGTAAGAAAATGGCAACAGTTCAGTACTCCGGGTCCTTAACTTGAACAAAATACAGCGTTTGATGATGAAAAATGCTGAAACTAGGTTAAAAGGTAACAAAGAGATGAGTGTGTGAGAAAGGAAAAAACACCGTGGAGCGCATGATGGGGAAAAACAGAGAACAAGGAATTCAAGCAGGAGACTGGTGAGGTCAGGTGAGTCATGAGAACAGTCATAAAAAGTTATCCTGCTCTCCGTGAGGAAATCCCCATCCACTGCCCGACTGTCCCACACCCAAAGTAGAGCCCTGCATAGCTGTGCACTCATGTCTTCCTTTTCTTCTTTTCCCCACTGTGGGAGCATCTCTGGGTGTTTATGTAGTGCAGCGCAGCAAATAACAGGATTATGACGGGATGACTTTAGTATATGCTTTCTATGGTAATCTGACAGTGTCTCTGGGGGTTAAAGTAGAGAATTAGGGTTTAAATAGAAGGATGTGTGTTGTGAGCGCAACTCACCGTCCGCTGAGCGACGAGCAGTAGGGAACCACGTGGATTCCCAGAGGGCTGTCCTCTCCTAGGATCTCCACCATTCTGGTCAGGCTGTCCACACACAGTGAACACATACATACAGAGAGGAAGAAAACAAAATAATACAAGTTCAGTTACTCTGAAAGGAAGGGTAGCTTTGACGTAGCACAGCGACGGGAACAACTGAACTACTTCAGTTGTTGCACGAGACGAGAGAATCAGGAAAGTCCTGAGAGAACAGAAATCAAGATAAAAAGCTTAGATGTGCCTTAAAAAGTATCCAAGGTTAATCATCAGGCATGACACAAAATAAAAGGATTAAATGTTAAATGTGCAGACAGAGAGAAAACAGCAGGGCAGCCCTCACACACATGTGGTACCACCAGAACAAAAACCTGTGCCGGTCTGGGGAGGAAAAGTTTGGAGAAGCGCTATCCAAGATTGAAACGTCATTTTCCATGGATCCGTTCACTGAGCTAAAAATACTTTTTGTCGAGGACTTAATCCATGTCTGCAAACCCAGGCCGCAGAGGAGGCGATGCCAACACTCTAATCAAAGTCAATAAAAGTGCAGATTGCTGCTGTGTGCGCACGCCTGTCACAACTTTTATGTGGCATCCTTCTCTGAGGATTTCTGACTTGCTTTCAGTCTCTCAGTGTCTCTGTCTAGCTTCGATTATTCAAGTATGTATCTGCTTTACATTCTGCCCGTGTTTTAATGCATGTGTGTGCTGAAGTCTTTGTTTGTTTGATTAGTTTATCTATCAGCCCACAGCCATTAATCCTCTCCTGACCTTCTCTCTGCTCCATGCGTGCATGTGTGCGTGTTTTTAGAAGCCAGTTTGTCTGAACTTGGTTTTGTGCTTTTGTTCTGCCCTCCCCTCTCCGTCTCTGACTATCTGTTCGTTTTGTCTCCCTCTCTCTCTAGACCATCCATCCATTCGTAAACCCCCCACCCCCCCATCAACTGATAGCAGCACAGATGCTGATAAACTCCAGAGAGGGTTACTGATGATGCTGGATGGCAACAGGGAAAGATGCAAAGTGTAGAAACAAGTTCTCCCTCTCTCCTTGTCTCAGACACACACACACACACACACACACAGAAAGCTAATGCTGCCTCATCGCTACTCAGCAGATTTGAGTTTAATCCAGACAACAGGAAGTGAGACTGGGGAAGAAAGACAGAGGCAAGGACACAGAGTGGTGTTTAAAGATTTAGAGCATGCTCTCAGTGTGTAACCGGAAAACTGACTGGATCACACTGGAAACTGTCATTACACACATACCATTTCTCCATGTGTTGTTGAAGCACACCATTGTGTTGTATGTTAATAAGGAAATGTAAAGTGATGGGGTTGGTGCTACCACAGCTGCTGTCCCAGACCGCGACTGGTCATACCAGAGGTCATGACATGGTCATAAGCTCTGGTATGACCGGTCGTATGACCGTATAATGACATATGATTACATGTGATTAGGGTGACTCCTGGACATTTTTGTGGCTGATCCAAATGAGACAGGCCCA